ACCTCTATATATATATATATATATATATATATATATATACACGCACCTTTATTGAATGACAGATTTGTCACAGCTCATATCATTTAATTTTGTTGTGTTGTTTATGAGGTCACTGTAGACATGGTGGTTGTAGTTACCCACTTTTTGGTGTGCAATACAGCTTGCAGTTTCTACAATAAGTGACTGATTTCAATTTTAGATCTGTTGTATGACAGTGCAATTGTTTTGTCAATTTTTATTTCCAGGAGAAGGAGCGGGATCATTTCTCACAGTTTATTACAGAAGGTTTTACATCTTATTGCAAGAGGAAGAGAAGAGACAAGGTTCTACTCCAAACGTTTATTTGTTTGATTGTGGCTGCACATTTTTGTAGACTTGTGAGATTAAAATTTATGTGCCATATATCATCATCATCATCATCTTTCAAGCCTTATCCTAACTATTTGGGGTTGGCTACATGAATCCTATTCTGCTCTATCAAGGGCCATACCCTTAGTAAGACCAGAATTCAGCATATCTTATCTCACTACTTCCATGTATGTCCTTTGGGCCTTCCCCTTCTTCGACTTGAAAGCCTTCCACTTGAAATTTTTGTACTTTATGCATAAAGAGAAAATATCTCAGATCTAGTACCATATTGGTACTCTGATCCAACATCTATTGTCCATACTTATTTGTAGATGGTAGGAGATTAGTTGTTTTTCACTCAGGCTGCCCTTATTTTGAGTTGGAACTGTATGTTCACCTTTGAAGGATATGTACGGATGGCTGATGTTGGGCATGAGTATCCAAATTGTATACTCGTACGAAGTTTTGCATACAATCCCTATATATAGTATTCCTTTTTGATTCACAATCTTTGGGGTTTCTTTGATATCCCATGAAGTAATCTGAGCTTTAGTAATCAACAGAAGTACCTGTGGGTAATATATCTGGGATTTCAGACTTGTAACTGAACTAATGTTGCGGGTTTAAAACATTTTAAAGTTACAGCAGCATTCACCTCTTTTTCTCTCCAGTGAACTTTTATAAGAAAAAATGTCGGATATCAATGCATTTCTATAAAGCATTACTTTGGGATTTGAATAGTGCTTGCTGGATCTTCATTTATCATTATTTGATCAATCATAGAGAATATTACTCTGGCTTGTCAATAGTTCTTTTTAACAATGTGTCAAAAATTGTTAACTTATTAGTTGGGATGCAGGTTTACGGGAACAATGTGGAGATCCAGGCTTTCTGTGAGATGTTCAATAGACCTATCCATATTTTTTCTTACGGCACAGGTATCCTCCTATTGTAGTTGAGCCTTATGATTTGCTGTCGTAGTTGGATAGGGAAATGTTAAAAATATTTTTAGTTGCCATATTTTTACTTGAATTCCTGTTATGTACAGAGCCTATCAACATTTTTCACAACAGCTATCACACGGATACACCTCCAATTCGGTTAAGCTATCATCATGGAAATCATTACAACTCTCTTGTTGATCCACGCCGACTGACAATTGGTGCAGGCCTTGGTTATAGCAGTCTACGAGGGGTGAGTCCTGTAACAATGGCATTTGTAGTACTGGACTTTCTAGGCAACTGCATTCCACTATTAGTATGTTCATCTATTCAATTTATTCAAAAGAAAGAAATGCAACTATATGATTCATATATACATATTTAGTTTGCTTAGTATTTTGAAATAACACATCTTGTGAACATCTTCTGAACATTAATTTTGGTTCATCTCATTTCTGGCTTCTCCACAATCTGGAAGATCAGTTTCTGTCTATAATGCCATTTCTTTTTTTTATTTTATTTTTTTTGTTGGGTTTTGAGACTTTCTTTTTTGTTTTGGATTAATTAGCGTAATTTGTTCTTTTCTCATGTCCCTTTTTACTAAATTGTAGACAAACATTGATAAAGATCAAGTAAAGGCTGCCATAAAAGCTCAGCAGGATCAACAACTTGAGAATGTAAGTTTTCGATTATGGCTACTTTTTCTCTGGTGTCAAAACTTCTCCCTTTTTTTCTTTTTAGGGCCAATTGTGCTTTCCTTGGCTACATGGTAGTATTGTTTGGCTTAGTTGCAAGAAAGAAAAAGATATAATCTATGGCATCATGCTTTATTTACTGCCTGATGATATTTCATATTATGTCTGTGGACAATTACAATGGCATGTTTTATTTTACCCTATGAGATTTGGCCAAGGTGCATACCAAAAAAGTAGCTATTGAAAAATTTCTGTTCCACTTGTTTCTCAAAAAAACAAAAAAATTTCTGTTCCACTATGGTCTTATTGCTGTTGCCTTTTCGATGACATAATAGTTAAGAAACACATTGCTCTGAGTCGGGTCATTTTTGTCTTATATTTCATAATTGCTTTGCTTCATATTTTGTGGCTTAATGCGATTCTTTCTTGATGTACTTGTAAGATAAGGGATTACTTAATGTGATGTTTATGAATGTTGCTTAACATTTTTGTTACATTCTTCAACCTTCACCATGTGATATTGTCTGGGAAATAATCTTAGCTTTGGTGCATGTTTGTACTTGTAGATATTGTTTCTAAAGTTATTAGGGCAATGGTTGAAAACTTGGTGGTCCTGGTTCCAGTTCTGTAGTCTCAACACCTGCCCAAGTCGAACCAGGTCTGGAACCTTTTCTGTGTGATCGTGCCAAAGGCTTGGGCCTTGTCTGGTTCAGCTCCAAGTCTGAATTTTCAGTCACTACATTAATGCCTCATTTGGAAACATATACTTAGTGCCAATGCATTGGTCGAAATGCATCAGCAGTAGTGCTACCATTTGTCTCTGTACAACAAAGTTGGAAATAAGCGGTGACTCTTTTTCAACTAGAATATTGGTACTAATGGGTTAGGGGAATGCCTAATCAATGTTCAAGGAGTAGGAGTGGCCGCCGAGGTTGGCACCTAGGCACCTCGCGGATTGTGGCTGCCCCCTTGTTCTTGAGTATAGAATTCCTTTTGTGTTTGTTTAATAAACAGGGTTTTATTGTTTTTTTGTATATAATGTATTGTTCAGAAGTTAGAACTACAGATCAAACATCAAAATACACAACTTTAAACTGTTAATAAAATAGTCAAGAGTAGCATTAAAAGAATGAAAATTACTAGATATTACTAGTAAATGTTAATTTTTTATTGAACTTATCCCAAAACTGATGATATCCATTAAATCATGCCAGTCGCAACAGATTAGTGATTAAAAAAAGTCACATCTGACAATCAAAGGGCATAAACAAGCTAGAAAAGTAGTCTCCTTCACCCCACAAATATGATAAACTCAATATGAGGTTTAGTTTCATCATCACTAGCAACATGACATCTACATTCAAGGAAAGCATTAAGTGCACCTGAAGTTGATGATGATGCCAAGCCATCATCATCGGAGTCATCCTCCTCCCCCCCATAATGACCTTCTTCCCTTGTTTCCTCTGAGTCTGCATCCTCCTTCTCCTCCACCATCTTCCTCCTCTTCGTCTGTACCTTCTTCTTTTTCAGCTTTCTCTTCGCCTTTCCCACTTCTTGCACTTGGTTCCATGTCAAGCTCTTCTCCGTCCCTCGAATACATGCTCAGCCCCATCATCTTACTCGACCAACCATTCGTCTCTTTTATCTAAATCTTTCACAACTATTGGATCTTGAATTTGAATCCACTTTATATGGCACTCCTTCAGCTTGTGATTATGTTAAATGAAAACATGGTCATTCAGTCTCTTTTGCTTGAGTTTATTTCTGTTCTTTGAATGCACCTGTTTTATAATACATCATTGCACTATTAGAATTTGTTACTTAAAAAAATATTGAGAAAGTTAGAGTCAAAGAATGATAGGAGATGAGGATAAATGAAAAATTTACCATATCAAATGTATTGAAATTGCTCTCGCAGCCGGATGATGTATAACTCAAGCTCAAAATTCGTTTCGCCATACTTTGCAAGTTGGGGGCACTTTTGTCCATGATTGGCCCACCATGAAGCTACAATACGTTAAAAATAAATAGAGTACATATATATGAGTAAACTTAGAATTTAGAATATTAAAGTCAAGTTAAATATGGAGTAAGGAGTAACAATTTAAATGTAAGAATGTAAATGACAAATACATCTTCATCTTTTGTCTTATTACAATGTGTGTCCTAAATATGCGCATAGACGATACAAGTCAAGTTCCATAGACACTTTTGTCTTGGACATCTGAGTCGGGCGTGAGCCTTGCATTAGACTTGTTAATTGCTTCCATAAAACAATCCCGACTCTCTACCTTAGAATCATAATAGAAATAAGCATGGTTGAGATGGTATCCTACTAGGTGTAGGGGTTTCTTCAGCTGCGAATTTATCTATAATTTTCATAACGGACTCATATTTGCTTTCATTTTCTTCAAGTTCATCTTAATTTCTTCTCTTGCAACCTCCATTGCATTGTAAATATGCCTCATTGCCTGGCTCTTTTTCACTATCCATAAGGCGAAGCACTTTTACAAGTGGCTCAAAAATATAGAGGCAATATTGAGCCCCTCTCCAAAACTTGGGTGTTATAACAATGTCATAGACCTTTTTGCCTTTGCCTCCTTAGAACACTTGCTCTCCTTCCAATCCGAGGAGACAAACATGGTTCGAATTGCCTTGGTTATTCAGAGAATCCATAGTGTTGCAAACCTTGTGATCCTTGGCCTCACCAAATCAGCCCCATTTGTAAACTTCCTCATCATGGCTAAAACATTGGTGTGGCTTTAAATAAAAACTCTTAAAGCTTTTGCTTTTTTCTCCTTGGCAAATTTCTCAACGAAGAGGTCGATACAATGAGTCACGCAAGGCGTCCTGAAAATGTGCATCCTCGTCGTCTCCAACAATCTAGCAGCTGCCATATTGGCCTTAGCCATATCAAGGACAACTTGCACAACATGTGCCTCGCCCACCTCCTCGATGCACTTATCCACAACTCCAAATATGAAAGTCGCATAACGAATTTTATCAAATGTGTCAAGGGACCTCAAAATTTGTTTTCCATAGGACAATGACCCAATAAATTCATAACACTCTTTGAACTCTTATTGCTCCAAGCATCTGTCATATTAGTCACCCCACATCTGTCCTAGGCATCCTTGTGGGTCTTCAGGTACTCATTTGTTATATCCACCTTTTCTTCAACACAGGACCCTTGAGCTTATAAGGTGTAGGGGCCCTATATCTTGGGCGAAACTGCCCCACTGCTCCACCATAGCTTGGAAACTCTTCTAACCGTAGTATTAAATGATAGACCTGTTTGATACTACCATCGTGCCACATACTGATTAACCCTTTTGATATCCTGCTTCTTCAAATGATCCTCCAGACTAGTCTATACCAGCGCCCTTTCTCGAACCACCACCTCAGTATTGGGAGGAGAGAAGAATGTATCAATGGGCCCCCTTCTTCAATGTCTCTTATGCCCAATGATATCTGGTCTACATATGGAGGCCGCTCCCTCTTCATCTTCATCTTTGTTTTTTATTCTATTCATATTTACAAATCTCCTAATGTCTTCATGTTGTTTCCTTGTCTCTTCTCTCTTCTTTTGGACCCATCTAAACGATCCAACATCTGTTTCCTAATATCTCCAAGAACTTGAGTACATGGCACTACGTCCCCTCTCTTATCGGCTAAATGCTTCTTCAATCGACTAATGCCAACATTGCACTCCTTTTTGCAAAAATTGCAAGCTACCTTATTCTTGTCATTAGGGTTGGGTTAATATTCGTATTTCTAACCCGTATCAGCTTGTTTACTGAACTCGAGGAAGGCATTTTCACCTACAGCCCTCAATTACTTATCGCTTAATCCTGAAAATTATACATAACCACCGAAGTCAAGCTTGAATACTTTACAAGAAGTGAAAATTGCCAATACATACACAAAAGCAAGATTAATTTACAACTATGCAGTCTAAATATTTAAATTTAAAATTGTGGTCATCTAAAAATTACAAATAGGCAATGATGTAGAAAGAAATAAATATACTGGCCGTTCAATATCTTGAGTTCTTGACAATCCAAGGAAGAAGTAAAGCTGGCATGCTCAAGGCCAAAAAAAAAAGTAAAAAACTCTAGGTAAAACCTTCACATTAAAATTTCAATGCTTTAAAGCATAAAATTGAAAAAAATAAATTATGAATCATGCATGTATCCTAAGTCATGCAACAAAAAAAATAAATTAAATCGCTTTGGAAGAAATGGAATTTTCCCATTGATTTGGTTCATCGATCTAAAAATCACAAATAATATCAAAGTAAAGCCTACTCATGCCTACTCATGCAATTATTTAAAAAGGCAATTATCAAACTAACTAATGCAAAAAAAATTATGGAGGAAAAGGTTATGAATCATACACGTAAACTCATGCAAAAAAAAAAATCATTTGGTTCAAGTGCAATGGATTTTTTCCATTGAATTACCTTCCCAAACTAAAAATCAAAATCCAAATAGTTGATAACATATCAAATACATCATAAAATATTGGAAAGGAAAAACATAAAGCAACATATCATAATACATTTTACGATTGTCCTCGTCAAAACATATCGTAATTTATTTTACACAAAAAATACATGACCTTAATTAAAAATATTGAAATAGACGAACCTTCTCAAAATGTGATCGATATCGGCTCAAATCGGTAACTTTTTGTTCCCAAAACTCCTCTTTTGCAACCAATACAAAGCCTCAAAAAGATTTGGGATGAATATCCTTTGATTTTGCAGGGATTTGAGGCGGTTGAAAAAATTTTTGATCTCTTGAAAAATCTTCAAATCTTGGATTTTAGAGACTCTCTCTCTGAAACTCACTACAAGGGTTTTTGGGGGGCAATAATGCCCCCCAAAATGCTTTTCCCCCCTTTTTGGGGGGGGGGGAATTACTAAAATGCCCCTTGGTCGAGGGCCATTTTCTGTCCTCGGCCAAGGTCTTGTGAGGCTCCGCCTACGCTCTCGCCTTGTAGGGAGCCTAGGCAGGCACCTTAGTATACCTGCCGAGGGCCTAGATAGGGGTGGCAATGGACCTGGACCGATCCGGGAACCCGACGACTAGACTCAACCCATGTCCGGGAATGGGTCAAAAAGTTGGACCTAGTGGGTCGGTCCGGGTCCAAATATTGGATCCGAACACTATTCGGGTTTGGGTCCATGTGGACCCAACATGAATAGTTTTATGATTTAAATAATTTTTAATATATAACATATTACTAAATAAAACTATATATTTTTAGTTTAAATATACTAAAACTATGTATTTTTGGTTATAATATTTAAATAGTACATGTGTATATTTAACACAATACTTAAATACATTTAAATATATATATTTTTATTTTCTGGGTCAGGTCCAATCGGGATGCCACCCCTAGGCCTAGAGACTTTTACTCTTATAGTGTTCTTGTAGGAACCCAATGGCTTTCCATCATCCCAAAATCAACTTTTGAGGTGGGTGAGGGACCCAAATCATAATTCATAAACATTCAAAAACCATATTACAAATTCACAACTGCAAAATTTAAAGTTACAAACTAAAGGTCTATGAAGATTGAAGAGTTCAAAAGTCAAGACAAATCATCATCATTTCTCAAGTCTCAAGTGTAAATCTCAAATCTTTATTGGACAAGTTATCTAGAGAGTCTCCATGTGCATCATCATCATCAATATCATCCTCAGCAGCCTCCACATATTATTCTTCTTCCTCGGTCTCCTCGAATCGTCCTCATCCTTCTCGACCTCTGGAACTGACATGCTACTGGACTGAGCTTTTACTCTTTTGTGTTATAGTGTTAGGTTGTACTTCTTCATTAGCCTGTGGGGCTAGCTAAACATAAAAAAAATGTCATTCCTTTTTTTTTTTAATTGATTTGATGAAAAAAAAGCCGCAAAAGTGGCTGTTTTTACTGTTTTGGGGGGTTTAATACCCCCCATACCCTATCCCCTCTTTTGGGGTGAAAATTGCCTAAATACCCCGGTCAAGGTGTTTTTTTTTTTTCCATCATGCTGATGCGGCGTATATGTGGTGCGATGCACTATGGCCGCATATGCGGTGTGATGCGGTGCATCCCACCAAACCGCATATGAGCTGTTTTGCGTTGTGCCTCCTAGTGCATACCACATGATGCGGTCGCATATGTGGCGCTGCCGCATTTTAAAACAATGATCTCCACAAATGCTCCTAGTCTATTGCTACTGCCAAGGTCGGATTTGAGCTGTCCATTTGACTGGACAGTGTATCTAAGGGATTAGGTTTTTTCCTGTTTTTTTTTGGAGCTCCAAACCAAACTTTAGTGTGAACCATTCTGAAACCATCGCCTCATATTATTATTATTTAATTTGAAATTGTTCCAAATCTACGGCTATCCCATAATTAAATTTAGTCCGCCCATTTGAATGGATGGTGGCTCTAAGTAAGGGATTTGGACCTTTTATGTATATCCAAATCGAAGCTTATTTGGAGGATCATTATTTGAAGGTGATTCAGTTTTTTGTTTTTAGTCCCTCACCCTTAAAAGTGGTTTTGTGGGAACTTTTTTAGTTCCTGCAGACATGTTAATATTCATCTGCGGCATATTATATTGGATTTGCATAATGTGAGATGTTATGCCATCAAACTTCTTTCAGGTTTTCAATGCACATATCATTATCATCATCATCATCTGAGCCATATCGCAACAAATTAGTGGCTAAGGTTCTCAATGTGTAGATTATCTGAGGTTTTTTTACAAGCTTGGAAAATCTATATCTTCTCATAACTGTGATTAGAAAAGATAGATGCTCTAAGCATTTTATGAAAGTATGTAATCTCCTCTATATCTAATTTTTCCTTTGGGTAAAACAATTCTTGGCATGTCCTCCTTATGTTTATTTCCTCCATGGTATCCAGTGTTACATGGATATCGACACGCTGTTCAGTATTCAGTATGTCTCGGAGTGTTTATTACATAAGACTAAAATGTCAGTACTTCAAGACATTGTACAACGACTATTTTGAAAAATATAACTATATAGGTTTTTCTAGATGCCCACTAAATGCACAACATTGTGGTGGAAGAGTGTGTCCTGTTTAAGCAGCCACCTAAGAGATTGCGTAGTCAAACCCCATCGACCGTTTTGTTTATATTTTTGCCATTTTAAAAAGGTTAGCCTATAACTACAATGTTGTCTACTAACATCATAGTGGCTTTGTGGCAGTATGTTGGTTTATGTGCAAATCGTCCCAAGTTCAAGCTGTGCACAGGTGATGGTCTTTGTATTTTTATGATATAAAAAATCTCACCAAGAAATAATAAAAAAAGTTTCATTGTGAGGAATGGAACTTGGGCCTCCTTGTCTTAATTGTTGCTCTACCACCAAAACCATTAAGCACGTGTGTTTGAGTAAGGGCAGACATATACATAATGTGTTGATATGTACTCCAAAATTGATGACATCATTAGACACATACAGTCAGGTGTCGATGACGTGTCTACACTTGTCTATGTCTTGATATGTGTCAACAAGCAACACCAAACAAATTTCGAAGTGTCCATGTAACATTGCGTGTATCACTTGCATATATATTATCCTTTGTTTTAGTCCAATCATTGATATTTTTGGCCTAGACGAACAGGCAGGTCGCCTGCTGTTGAGCCTTGCTCCTGAAATGCATGTTTGAATGAAGGTGCTCGACTTCTTACTATATAGATTTTTTGCGGGAAAGATGTTGTATCTTATGCAAATATGCTCTTCATCTTCGAGAAATTTCACATTTTTGGTAGTAAGCCTACTGCAATTCCCAGTGTTCTTTGGCATAGACTTCATTCCAGTGGTTCTTCTTTATTATATGTCATATCCCATTCTAAATCACCGGATCATTTAGAGGCTCCAAGAGTATTCACTGAATTGAACCATGCCTTCTTAGGCATCCAGTTGCTCAAATACATGTCTATTGTCACATGGACAAAATTAAACATATGAGTTGCTTTGTCCAAGGCCTTCTCATCCTTGGTCTCTTCTATACTTTTCTTAATTTGAGTCGTGTACGTATTTACAGATGCAGATTGGTATAGTTATCTGAATGCCTTACATGGACTCCTGCATTTTTGTTGGGCTTAATTTCACTTTTTGGAGCAATAAGCAAAGAACTATTTCTCAATTTAGCCATGAGGCAGTATGTCAAGCTGTGGCTTGATTATTGTCATGCTTACAGGGTTAATTGGTCACAACTCACAAGTCGTATTGGAAATCATGGATATGGCTTGCGACTCGCTATGTTCCAAATTGTGAGTCAGGTCTAACAGACTCAGCTGTTCATCCAAAAAAATGATAAAATAATGGGAACTGGCCAAACTTTATCAGTTCCCATGTGTATGGCTCCAGGCTTGGTACATTGTCAAGCCTGAGTGACTTGGCGAGTTTGAGTGGACTCGCATGAGTTTTCCAACACTGGGCACATCTGATTTGGGAACTTGGTGTTTTGGTTTAACTGTTTTACTTTGTGTTGTGAAGATTGCAGCATGATCTCTGTGGCAACTCATCCAACTTTGCAATCGGAAGAACTAAGTTTATATAGGCAGATTATATAGAGGGGGATTATCACTTCATATAGATATATTTTACAATATCATTAGTTAGAGACAGGCTGCATCATATTTCATCTTAGCTGGAGTATATTTCCATTTTGATTGCTTGCAATGAGTGATTGTATAGGTTTTTAACATTTATTATCATTTTGTAATGAATAGTTGATCATTTGCCTTGTTCTTCAGGTAGTTTTGCCATCTTATTTTATTTTGATGTGTAATCCCATGTTGATAAATCTCTTGATCTGTAATCATCATCCCTTGATGAGATGAATTTGAGACATTTAATACTTTAGATGGAAAGCCTCAAATAATTATGTATTTGTAATATGGCCCAGGCCCTTCTAGCCGAGGGTCGCTTCTACTCTGATCTGGAGCTCACAGAGAAGGAAATCGAGCGCATGGTTATGGAGGCTTCACGGGCTGAATATCTTGCAGAGGATAAATTCAAGCAACAACTCAGCCTGAGGGAGTCTTCAACCTCTTCCCATGCCGAGCCATCCTCTTCCGGAGCAAGTGAGTGATAACTTATATATATATATATATATATATATATATATATATATTCTTTCTTAATTTTCTCAAATGAGAAAGTATACTGTTATGGCAGGCAGTATTAGGAAGCCTCATCTATCATCCATACTGTGCTCCATACTTCAGACTTCTTTGGGTGGTTTAAAAAATTACCATCGGTCTCGAGTCTATAGACATGCCCATGGTAGTTAGGAACTTGAAAAGAATCCTTTTTAAAAATTGTATGAAAAACCCAATATTTGGGAATTCCGTGGAGTTAACACCAGTGTTTGAGAAAATGCTTGAAGAATTGGGAATAGGAAGTACCCTTTTTGTTTATAATAGCGGAATTTGTATTCTCCTGAAAATGTAGGGCTGCTTTTCGTCCCAGATTTTTAGGTCTTGTTTGCTGAAAAGGACTTTCTAAGCAAGCTGAGAAGCCCTTAAAACTTTACAAAAACAGTAGTTTCTTCAAAAACCCCACATACACGCACACATGCGTGAATCCACATACACCCATGCAGAGAGAGAGAGAGAGGGAGAGAGAGGAACACCAACTCTGTCTGGGATTTTTATTTCTCAATTTTTGGGAACTTTTTTCTATTTTTTTAAGGTCTCCCTATCTTTAAGTTGCCCCTATATTTTTCTCAAGAAGAAAAAAAGAAGAAAAGAATAAGAGAAATAAAAAAATGTCTTTCTCGAAATGGCTCCCTAAGAAATTCCTGAAAAGATATTACATATCAACATGGAGCTAAACAATTTTCTCTTAACAGTTACAGGTCCATCAGAGAGGGAACAAAAGAGTGGGCTTGAAAGGACCTCTTCAGATGCCGAGTTAAGTAGCAGCATGCAGATGGTCCTGTCAATGGGTTTCAGTTACAGGAAGGTCATCGAAGCCTACAGTATATTTGGCAACGATGTAGAATCAATGGTGTGTTATTTGCTTGAGATGGGATCGGCCAGTCCATCAGAAGGAACCCTGAACAGGCTCAAAGGGAAGGCGACTGAGTAATAGGAAGACAAGGTCATGGAGCTCAGAGTACCATTTATTAATGGTGTAATGGGTTACATTTTCTAATGTGTATGTTGAACTCTTTCAAGTTGAGGTTATATAGTAGAATAAAATTGATGGTGGATTTGTGGTTACAAGGACTAGTACGTTGGTAATGAAGGCTTTCTAGGCAAAAGAGAGAGAGAGAGAGAGAGTGAAATCATGGCGTGCTGGGCTTTATGAAAATAAATGAAAGCATCACCTCAATCTATGTCCAGAAAGCACCTTTGGCAGTGGAAATCTCCATGTCAGCTCTAAAATAAAATTCCAACACTGTAATAAAATTTGAAACTAAAAAATTGGGGCACATTTTGTGGATCTATGTACACTTATTTTTCGGGAAAAATATACTGCCTAAAAGTTTGTTACAATGTACACTATCTTTAGTGCTTGAAATCATAATTTTTTTCTTTTATTTTTTCTTTTACAACCATAATGTTCAAGTTGAGGTGGTCGATGTAAAGGTTTTTCAACGCATGAATTCCAATTTTTAATGAATTATGAGGCTAGACTTTACTTATTCTCGTAGGGCTGTAGCCCTATCAAACCATTTTAATTTGCTAAAATTTTAGTGTATTTTGTTTCTATTTTCTACTATATAAATCAACTTCATATTGAGCTAATGCCTATCACCATATTGTATTTGTAAAAACACCAAAAAAAATTTTAAAATAAATTAAACTACCTAAATACTCTTAAAATTTTGAAATTTTGAGGGATATTTTAGTTATTTTTATTTAATTAAACTTTATTTTTAAGTTATTTCAAAATGCATTATGGCGATAAGTGTGAACTCCTAAAATTTGAGCTTGTTATAATACAATATTTACCATAACAAAGTGGGACTTAAGAGTGAAACAAAAAATATATGAGACTATTTTTAGATTTCAGAAAATGAAAAAGGATTTTTCTGTTAATTCCCGAATATCTTTCTCATGCGTTTAAACATTGTGATTGGGTCGTTCCTCAAACGGAAGATTAAAACAAAGAGCACAAAACTTCGAGTCTTGTGCATACTTTTTAAAAAATGGAAATATTATTTGTCAAACCACCTAGAATTTTGTTACAAAAGCTTAAAATACTTTTTGTCTCGGTTTGTGTTAGTAAATTTGACTCGACTCAGTCGCTTGAGCTCCCCTATCTTTGTTTTGAGCTAAAACAATTTTTTTCATTAATAAAAATCTTGTTTCAAATTTGGAAACACACCCTCCCTCTTTCTCCCTCTCTCTCAAACACACCTCCTCCTCTCTCTCTCTCTCTCTCTCTCTCTCTCTCTCTCTCGTCGTCGTACGGTACGTACCGTACGTACCGTACGTCCGTACCGTCCGTACCGTTCCGTCCTCCTCCTCCTCCTCCTCCTCCTCCGTCCTCCCGTCC